GTTCAAAAAGTATTGCGAATTTTGAATTTTCGAGGGTTACGTGGAGTTATGTTGGTACTCATGACTGTCACTTATGCCGACAAGCTCGGACATTTTGAATGTTAATTGTGGACAGCTGCTTTGCTTGCACGTGTTTTGGATGGTCTTCTATTTTTACCTATTCAAAAAAATGGATCAAAGAACCTGTCTAAAATTTTGTGTGAAAAACGAAATTAAGTGCGCGGATGCATTCCGAATGTTGACTGTGGCCTACGGAGAAGCTACCTTGGACCGAAGCAACGTTTATCGGTGGTACAAAATGTTCTCAGAAGGTCGAGAAGATGTGAACGATGAAGAGCGTGCCGGATGCCCGAGCTCTTCAACAATAGACGAAAAAATTAATTTCAGGGGCATGGTGCATCATGAGTTCTTGCCACCGGGTAGAACGGTCAATAAGGAATATTACCTGTAAGTTATGCACAATTTGCGCAAGGCAATCCGCCAGAAACGCCCGGATTTGTGGAAGAACAAAAATTGGCTTTTGCACCACGATAACGCCCCTGCTCACAAACAACACACTACGATGACGCAGCCATCGTATTCCCCAAATCTGGCCCCCTGTAACTTTTTCTTGTTCCCTAAACTGAAGAGGCCCATGAAACTTCGTCCCGCTACGATTGACGAGATAAAGACGGCATCGAAGGAGGAGCTGAACAAGATAAAAAAAATGATTTTTTGAAGTGCTTCGAAGATTGAAAAATCCGTTGGCATGGGGATTACTTTGAAGGGGACAAAATAGATGTTCATGAATAAATACATAATTTTTGAAAAAACACGACGATATTTTTAACACACCTCGTATACTAGTTTATGTCGATAATAGTTTTATTGGACAAACCAAACAATTTGGGGAAAAGACTGTACTCTTACTTTCTTGAAAAGTTAATAAAACTATTTATTTTTCTTTGGTCTGAAGTACTTATGCAAGTACAGAAGGAAAATGGCCATCAAAATTTATACTGATCGGAACAGAATGACGCATCCTTATCAGACTATGAAATTTGTTATTAAACATTTGTAGCTATAGATAAATATTTTCACAGAAAATCATCGAAATCGGAACTATATTATATAAGTGTCTACTATCAATCCATTTATTCATATATGAGGTTTTGGGCAAAAATTTCCTTCAAAAGAACAACTAAGGCAACAAATTTGATATTATGCATAGGTACATATATATCATTCTTTCCAAAAATCTTTGAAATCGGAGAATTATATCATACACTAGCTTATATACAACTGATTTTTTCAGATGTTAGATTGTGGGTCGAACATTCCTCAAAAAAGCTTGAACTTTGGTTCCAAAAATCAGCGTAATTGGAAAAGCGTCCACCAACCGATGATGTTTAATATATCAGGTGTACAACTTTGCTTTCGCCGTTTTCCGATGGGTGGCTGTACCGGCTGAGGCTGGTTGAAATACATAGATGATAATGCCTTTAAAGTGAGTGTGGACAGTCCCTAACGAATTGTCATCGCCGTTTAAGTGACAGTTGTTCTTGTTTTCGTATTATTCACGCTCGAAAATGTCCGTTTATGTGCCTGATTCTCGCCATTTGCGGGAAGTTTTACTTTTCTGTTACAATTCGAAAAAAAAGCAGCTGAAGCGCATCGAATGCTCTCAGAAACTTACGATGTCGGGAGTGGTTTCAACGTTTTAAAAATGGTGATTTCGATGTCGAAGACAAACAAGGTTATGATTTGTATTTGGTGGGATCAGCTCGGTGTGATTTCCTACGAGCTTTTAAAACCGGGTGAAACCATCACAGGAGATCGCTACCGAACGCATCTGATGTGCCTTAGTCGCGCGCTAAAAGAAGAAAAGAGCCCCAATATCAAGAGCGACATGATAAAGTCATCCTCCAACACGACAATGCTCGGCCTCACACCGCAAAAGTGGTCAAAAAGTACCTGGAAACGCTGAAATGGAAAGTCTTGCCTCACCTGCCGTATTCCCCAGATGTCACCCCTTCTGACTTCCACCTATTCCGTGCGATGGCACACGGCCTGGCAGATCAACGTTTTCAATCCTTCGAAGAATTGGAAAAATGGATTGCTTCATGGATAGCTTCAATTTAGGACTCCTTTTTTCGAGCCGGGATCCGAAAATTTGCCGGACAGAAGGGATAAAGTTGTCGCTAGCGAAGGACAATACCTTGAATAATATATCTGTATGCACTTTTTCGCAATAAAGCTTTTAATTTTGGAAAAAACGGCGGAAGCAAAGTTGTACACCTGATATGAGAATAAATATTTAATACTTGATTTTTGAGCACTTTATTTATTTGTTTGGCCCAGAGATGCTCAACGCAACGATATCATTTCCAAAGAACGTCAAATAATGAGTAGGACCAAATGCGGACAGCATGTGAACTGCCAAAATCAACGATAGATATAAGAGACTATTTCCCCACTGCCGCCAGAAATTGCATCTGTTTGTTAACATTTCTGAGCAAGATAATACTAAATTAATAAAATAATTGTCTCCCAGCTTTCATTTTTCTGTAAATAATTTGTCAGCCGCTGGTAGTTCGCTGTTAACTAGCGGTTAAATAGTTTCTTCCTAACATAACGTATGGAGATGAAATAGCTTCTTAGCAATCCCATCGGTGGAGCAAATTGCAATCGACACGTCCCGGCTCTTCTCTTTAATATACGTTCTCAGTAATTTCGTTGAGTTTATTTTTCGTGTTAGCGAAATCGTTTCGTTTCGACGACATGTTATCGAAACGAAATGAAATCGTTTAAAGTGAAATTGCACAAATTCATCGTTAAGGTTTCTTTTAAAATAGTTGCTTGTTTTGTTTTAACGGTAAATTTCAATTTTAACGTTTAACATTATCGACAGCGATCCATTTCGAGTAAAAACGAAACAAAGTTTATTTTGATAACTGCTTCCGCGTTAAAACTTCCAAACGTTTTAACCGAAACGATAGAAATTCTTCGATTGACGTGAAGTTTAGCGTTAAGATGCAGCCTTGGTGTGGATATATTTATATGATTTTTTTTGAGGGTTGAATCTGGTTAGAAAATAAATAATCTAGCTCTTCATTGGTCTAATCAGTTAACTAGCTTGTTTTACTGGAGAAGGTTAATCACATTTTCATTAATTACTTTACTATTTTTGTATTATTTCTGATTAATTGCTCATAAGTTTCATGGAAGAACTTCAAGGAATTATAAACAAAGTTCATTTTTAACAAACCACATATATGACAATTCATATGTCATAAAAATATATAAATAATAACAAAATAGCCATATTACCAACAGTAGATATAAAACACTCAAATAATAATAATAATATCTGCAAAATACTCAACAAACAATTTCGATGAAAAATATATAAAATTTGTTATTAAAAAAAAAATACGCACATAAACTTATGCTCTTAAAAATAAAGGAAAATATCACTTAAAAATAAATATTTTCTTGGAATTTAAATTAGTATTTTTATATTAATATTTTTATATAATTTCCAAAGAGCTTAAGTATAGGTACACATTTCATATATATAAAAGCCTTCAAGTTCTTTTGTTTATCTGTATATAATATATAATCACCGCCAAAGCGATTTTCGACCGAGCTCTTGCTCCAATTTCTGGTTTTGTTTATACTAAGCCGTCTCCAAACGGCTGATGGTTTTTTATGAGGAGCTTTGATTTTCATGTCGGTGGGGAATACCGATGGGCGACCGCCATTAGAAAATTTAATTTAAAGTTTTTATAAAAATTTATTATTAATTTTGTAATTAATTTTATCTGTATATATGTATGTAAAATTTAATCGCCAAATGAGTTTGCTGAATGCAAAAATCGATAAGGGCGTTACAACTTTGTAGGAAAATGGATCGATGGATGGTCCATTAAAACTAGTTACGAACTGATCTATTCGAAAAAGTGTTCGAATTATCTGAAATTCTTTAATTATATTCCTCGTAGCTTATATACAACTGATTTTTTCAAATGTTTGATTGTGGGTCAAAAACTCCTCAAAAAAGCTTGAACTTTGGTTCCAAAAATCAGCGTAATTGGAAAAGCCTCCACCATACGATTTTTGTGATATGAGAACTAATATTTAATACTTGATTTTTGAGCACTTTATTTATTTGTTTGGATCAGAGATGCTCAACAAATGCAACGATATCATTTCCAGAGAACGTTTTTTTCAAATAGGCCATATACCGAACTTGCTTGAATTTTCACTTCAAAAGCATCTCTTTGGCTAAAAACACAGGATATTTTTCTCTGCCTGAACTGGGCTAGGATTATCCCATATAAATTAAAATTAAAATACAGAAAATCGCAGCAACGGATGGCCGCGTCAACTAATATGTGTATGTGAGCTTAAGATCAATTTGAAAAAAAATCTCGTTGGGTTCTTATAAAAAAAAACAGTAACATTGAAAACTTCTGCAGGTTAGATTACAAATAAAGTTAAGATTTAAATAAGCAACAGCCGAGAGATTATCAGCAGACAATATTTTGTCTGATTGCGGTCACCTCTCGGTAGGAGTTCTCAGCGCCTCCGCGTGTATGTCTAACGTGAAATAAAAGCTCGTCATAGAAATCCATGAGACGCTCAGCGGTTACACTTATTTCTATATACATATACACAGGTTAGTTGAAATATTAAAAAGAACATTAACCGTTATTCGTAACTAACTTTAACTTTAGTAAAAACAGAATTTTTTTCTACACAAGAAATATTTACAGCAAAAGTTATTTACTTAAATTAAATAAATTGTGTTACCAATTAAAAATTAAATTAAAAATTTAACAAGCAATAAAAACAGTAATAAAAACAAAGCCAACGGTGGAAAAATAAAATCGAACGTTAGTACATAAATTACGACAAATAAATATTTACAAAGCGATAATAGAGTGGCATCGCATAGGGATTTACGAAATTCATTAATAAATAATAAAAATAAGACATAATATATGAATTCATCTTACAGCCGGCGGGATCGGTGCGTACGACGACGAGCAGCGATGCGGCGCAGAGTAGATAGAAGATAAAGCGAGGATGCGCTGTTGCAGGCATTTTGCTAATAAAAAACGCTTCCAACGGGTTTTCAGTGTTATTTTAGAGGAAATTTTGGTTTTTAGTTTCACTTTTATGATCTTTCGAATGTGTTCACTTCAATATTATTTCAACGCGCAACTTGCAAATTAATTTCACATACAATACATATAACTTACATACCGACACAACATACATGTACATACATATGTTTGCGCACAAATATTTATTTCTTATTAGCTCAGTTCAGTTCAATTTATGTAGTTGCAAATAAAATTTATATGAGTGTTTTAATTTGCTGACCAGCGCCCGCTTGCCAAACGAGAGAGTAAACTTTCGCTTTCGATAAACAACTGATAGCGATCGGCCAATGATTGACTGTTCACTGTTCACTGTTCGTATGCGCCTGCGCATGCGCAAATCGTTTCAAGAAAGTATGTTAATTGAAATTGCCCGTTTAAGTGGTGCACGCTCCTAACGAAAGGTGATATCTTTTTTTTTTTGGTCTTATTTATAAACAAATATTTATAACGGTAGATCTCAACACGTTGTTGAAGTTCGTAAGCAGTCTACAGCAGCAGATGCTACCAACAGTGATGATGTGATGTTGAAGTTGATTCCTCAGCGACTTTCCTTCAAGTGTTAATTAACAACTGCCGCTTGAACTGTTGAACCTTTAAGCTTCTCTATTGCGTTTGTTGATTGCACGTTTTGCTTTTAATGTAGATTTTTGATTTCTGCGCGTACACCACCGTTCGTGTTAATAGCCAAAAGCCAACTGAGTTGTGAGCTCACGCACAAAACGGTAGCACCTCTTAACGCCTTGGCTCAGATACAAATTAAGCGTCAAGCCATAGCCACAATCACAGCCGTCGCGACGCAATCCAACTAAGCTGACAACCCAAACAATTACAACAAATACTACTCAGTTTTAATTTCTTTTCCATACTCTTTCTGTTAAGTGTTGTTACCGGACTCAGTCTGTGGGTTATCTGTGGTAAACGCAGCGCCGCCAGCAATTCAAGTTCGACGCAGCCGCCAACTGCCCAGCAAGCTGGACATGCGTTTTTTTCAGCCGGCCTTTGGCAGTTTTAACTACTCGCACAAGTGCATTACCCCTTGTTTGGCGACAATTTCGTACTCCCTCTTACCCTTCGCTCTTCACCACTTCAGACTTTCGTTTGGCGTTAAATACCAGTATTTTTTGAAAATACACACCTTGACATTGTGTATGAAGCCGCTTGTTTGGATTTCAATTTCTCTCATTTGCGTTTGTTTTCATTCTTTATCAAGCTCTCACATTTTTTGCTCGATCATTCGGCACTTCAACATGGTCTATTGGTCATTATGTCGCGCTAGTTTACAGAGTCTATTCATTAAGCTTGTCGTTTCGATATGTTTATCTTGTTAAGAAGGCGCAGATTTACAGTGTTGAGCAGAATAATAAAAAAACTGTGTTAAAGAAATTAGTAAAATGCGGTTCACACAGACAGTCAATTAATTAACTAATGGGAGTAAATTTAAACGAATTTTCAATTACGGTGGAGTTCTTAATTTATTTATTTTTCTAAAAATAAGAATATTATTTAGAGAAGAAGCAAACCATAAGAGAGAGGAGCTAGGCTGGAATATAGTGCGGAAGCAGGCGATGCTTGCTTTGTAAATGAAACCATGTTGGGCTTCATAAATCACTCAATAATTAAGACTTGAATGTAATGATCGGAAAGGCGTAATATATTTATAACAAGACCATCGAATTCTGTTTATAAATGAAAATGCCTCCACTTTGTTCGGAAAAAATGTTTTACTAACAGAATTAGAATAATATCAACAACCAAATTCCAGTTTTTTACCTTAATTGAATGTGTGTGAACACCAATTCAACGAGACTTTTTTGCAACTTCTTATTTTATAGTTGAATCCAGTGCTGCAGTAGCTAATAGCAGTTAATCGACCAATTATTCTACTCAACACTGTATATTATTATTGTAGTTTTTCTAGGTTATCAATTTAGAGCATTTCATATTCATCTATCGTGTTCTACAGAAATATTAAAATACCTAAAAGGAAAATATATATCCCACTGCAACTAAATTATTAATTTATACTTACTGTTTCACGGTATTTACATGTGTCGATATAAATAATTGTAAGTTAATAAGCAATAATGAGAACATTTATTTCCTACAGGGAATTTACTTTTAACACAAAAGATTTATTAATGACTTCACGTCTGTCACGGTGATGATAGTAATAATTACTGCCATATAAATGGTCGTAGGTGCATATATGTATATAAGTATGTGTTTATATGTCGCACATGTTGTGAAACCTTTAAGAACAATTGCTAGTAATTAAATTGCTCCAATTTGAAAGAAAGTGCGTGGGCTTTTGTTGCAATTCCCACACAAAGTTGCATGATTTGTGCATTGCATTTACTGGATCTCAAATGTCATGAAAAGAACTTTTCATATGCATTTTTGTGGAACAATTTTATTATTAAAAATTTTAGAAAGTGAATTCCGTCGTTAAATAGACAAAGTAGGTCATCATAAAATATACTTTCAATTGGGATTTTGCTCTATGTCTCTGATCAGAAAATATTTTTAATCTTAAATCATCAGGTTTTTTGACTCTTTAAATTTTATCGTAGCTGTTAAAAGATTAAAAATTTTGTTTAATTTCGATTTTTTCTAAATTATTTAATTTTACTTATGGTTATTTATGGATAATTTTTAAAATTAATTTATTTTCCTTCAATTTGTTTGTTTTATATTATTTTAATTTAATTCAATTTTATTTCGAGATTGAAATGAAAGTACGTCATTTACAATTGAAATATATACATTATTTTTTTCCGATTTATCTCTTTGTTTATTGTGTGTTATATCATTTCATATTCATCCCATATTTTCATTTAATTTATTTTAAATTCATTTTAGTTTATTTATTTATTTTATTTACTATTTATTATTATTTTAGTAGTTTAGTTTCAATAAATTTTTTTTAAAACTTTATTTAATGTTTTGCTTAAATTTTTATTTGAATTTATTTTTATTTTATTCAACTTCATTTTAATTTTTTGCTTTTTCATAATTATTATTTCTTAAATGTTTTTTAATTGAAAATATTCAATTTAATTTAATTTTTTTTTGAGATAATTTTCTTAGTTTGTGCTTTAATTAATTATTTTACTTTATATTATTATCGGCGGCGGTAGCCGAGTGGTTAGCATTGCGTACAGCCATTCAGAAGGCTCGGGTTCAAATCCCGGTGTCGTACTAACATCCAAAAACTTATGGAAAATTAGTTTAAATGAGAGGTTAAGCTAATTTTTCAGATTGCGGTCGCCCCTCGGCAGGGAATGTCAACGCCTCCGAGTGTTTTTTTAACATTAAATAAAGGCTCTTCATAAAAAAACCATCAGCCGTTCGAAAGCGGCTTAGTATAAACTGTAGACTTTTCCATTTATAGGAAAAACATCAAGACTCAAGAACGATAAAACGAGAACCTTCGATAGCGAACAACTCGAGTATTCTACACTTTCGTCTACGAGCAGCCGACTGCTATATAAGGGCGACACTCAGCTGCCAGAGAGAGAGAGAGGAGGAGTTGGAGATTACATTTAAGTAAAGTAAATTGTGAAAGTTGATGCTAGTGATTGTAAATAGTAAAGTGCATTGTAATTGAATTGTGAATTACTGAAAAAATAAAGGACATTAGATTAATTCTTTATAACGACAGAAACTGCAAATTAAGTAGGCGAGTTTTTATTTAACAATCCAGAGATCGTACCCGAAGGATTCAGGAAATAATCGAGGTTGATTTAGCAAAGTCGTAACAATATATATATATATTATTTGATAGTATTTTATTTTGTTTAATTTTATTTAATTTATTTTTATTTTACTGAATTTTATATTATTTTTTCTTTGATTTGTTTTATTCTATTCTATTTTCTTATTTTGTATTATATTAGTTTTTGTTTTTGTTTTATATTATTTAATTTTCTTTGAGTTGAGCTTATGTTGTTTTGTTTAATTTCTTTTTATTTTACTTCATTTTCTTTAATTCTCTTTTATAATTTTTCCTTATTTTATTTCAGTTTGTTTTGTTTTCGTTTATTTCATTTTTTTTTGCTGAGCTCAGGCCGCCTGGGGTCACAACGTGGTCTAGCTACGAATATCCAGTAAGTAGCCTATGGACAAGAGCGACAGGAGAAGAGGATTCGGCTTAAAAGTACCGAAGAGGTCCTATGATACTCCGGTGTCGAAGCGAATAGATGCCGCCCCGAAATAAGCATCCACAAACCCCAAGAAGTTGGCTCGAGGGAATATCTATCCATGAGAAGGAAGAAACTCTGCAACGAGGCTCGTTACTCATAAATTCCCTAATGGTATGCATTTATAAAAATGCGTGTAAGAAAAGAACCCCCGGGCTAGTGCTCATCAGTAGCGAGACCACTAAGATCTTGATTAAGGTACACTGGAAATATCTTTACGAAAAAGTTAGCTTTTGGGCTATTGAGAGTGGTATTCTGCCACTTTAGTAAGCAACAGCGACACCTTTGCTGAAATAGCTGGCAGTCTAAAGTCATAATTGCCCAAGTACGTTCAAAGCATGTCGCCATTAATTTGGCTGTACAGGTTCAGTTGAGATAAACTTCTGATTAGCGCTGGCTGGTTCTGAACACAAGTTTCTATGAGGACGTGTAGCAACCCTTGCGAGGGGATCTACAACATTCGAAGACCACCTCGGGAACTGTGTCAGTGCGACTGTAAAACGTGCGAACATAGCGGCATGGAGCGGAGACCAAGGAAAAATGAATAAAAGAAGCAGAAGCAGTAAAATACTATCGTCACCTGAACAGCTAACTCGAAAGTCACAACTACAAGAATATGTGGATACCACGTAAAAATTTAGCGGTGAATGTAGAGGTCAAACACAACACCAAGACCTGAAACGAGTTCAAACGAAAGCTCAACGCCAACTACATCAGAACCAACGTCGCTTTTTCAAAACTAGCCAAAACAGGATTTTTTAAGAGAGATGAGACTTGCAGAAGAAGACGATATGATATTAAAATATATTGAAATATTATTAATATTATTATTAATATTATTAAATCAAATTTAATTTTATTTTGCCTTGTATCATTATGTTTTATTTTATTTTATTTTATT